TGTGGTAGGATGGGGGGCGGGACTTGATATTTGGGGCGTTAACCGAGGGGCGAGGTTTGAAGGCAGAGTGATGGTGCCGGGGTAGGGAGGGAGGGCCTGAGGGTGTGGGGCCTTATGGACATATCTTGGGGTATGGGGCTGAAAAATGGAGGGGCAGGGGCTTATGGAGTGGATGGGCGGAGCTTATGGGCAGAGGAGAGAGCTATAGGGTTCAAACAGAGGCTGCAGTGGTTAAGGTGTGGGGCCCTGAGCAAGAGAGACTGCTGTCTAAAAGGGGGGATCCGAAATCAGTCAACACATATGTGTTGAGAGTGCACTTTTGTGCAAGTCTCCATCCTTGGTGAGCTGACATGTTCGTGGTGGGGGAGACAAATAGCTAAATAGATGGTATACTACAGAGACGGTGAATGCCAAAGGAAATAATGAAAAAGATTATGAACTAGGGAGTTACTTTAGCCAAAGTTGTATGGGGAAGTCGCCAGAGGAGGTATTAAAGGTGCAGAGACCCAAATAAAAAATAATTCAGTTGTGTACATATTGGGGGAAGGGTGTTTTAGGCAGAGGGAACAGTAAAGGTAAAGGCTGGGAAGTGGGGATGAGTATGGCATATTCCCGAGGGTTTTCATATTACTGGAGCAGAGAGAGTGAAGGAAAGAGCTGTAGTAGGTGAATCAGAGAGGTAAGGTTGGGGGGGGTTACAGATCTTGAAGGGCCTTTGGGGTGTACTCTGAGGAAGAAAGCTGCAATGGTGCTGGCTCAGACTGGGGTGCTGGCACTAGCAGTGATGAGGAGAGGGTCAACAGATCACTTCAGTGCAATAGCACTCTAGGGTCAAGGTCTGGGAATTCAGAAGAGAGACAGTGCCTGAACTGTAAGTGAGCCAGGTGGAGACAGTGGGAAATCAGCACAAGCAAAGGCCTGGAGCCAGGTAACTTCAAGGTAACAGCCAATTGTTTAGTACTATGAGATTGTAAAGCTAAAGAAAAACAAACAAATAAACAAAAAACTGGGGGACCAGCAGTTAGTGTAATGGCTATGTCGCTGGACTCCCACCTAGTCCACCGCGGTTTGAGTCTCAGACCTGGTGGCTTAAGCTCACGCTGGGCGCCTGTGCGTGCGTGCCCAAGATCCCGAGAGGAGAATGGAGGAGAAGGGATTGCGGCGTGGCCATCCCCCCTGGAGGGTGATTTCTCGCTTTCTGTCTCTGTCTCTCTCTGTCTGGCTGGCAAGCGCAGGCGCCCTATAACAAAAACCTCTCAAAAAAAAAAAACTGGAAAGAGACTAGATGGAGCCATTAGGTCCCCTCTGCTGGGGACCCTAGGGTTGCCATTGAAGAGATTTAAGCAGAGGAGTGTTGGAGATAGATGTGCTACATTGGTTGCAGCATGAAAGACTGATTTGGTCACCAGACTGGACATGTGATTCTGGCAGCCGTAGCTGAGGGGACATGGAAGAAAGGTTGGGGCCTGGATTGTTGCAATAGCCGCCTCCTCCCTGGACCCCTTGCTTTCACCCTCACCCATCATAGTTTGTTCTCAAAGCAGCTAGAAAGATTCTATGAAATCCTGTCAGGCCACATCCTTCCGTTGCTCAGAAACCTCTTGCGGCTCCCCGTTACTCAGAGCAAAAACCAAAGTTGGGGACCAGCAGATGGTTAGCAGTTACATCACTGGACTTCCACATGGCTGACTGTAGTTCGAGTCTCAGACCCAGTGGCTCAAAACCCACACTGGGGATGTGTGTGTGTGTTGGAGATCCTGAGAGGAGAATGACGAAGGGACTGTGGTGTGGCCATCCCCCTTCAGGGGTGATTTCTCACTTTCCCTCTCACTGTCTCTGACTCTCTCTGTCACCGGTGAGCCCACATGCCCTGAGGCAACAACTTATTTTAAAAAAAAAAAGATAGGAACTAGCAGGTGCCATAATAGTTATATCTCTGGACACCCACGTAGTCGACTGTGGTTCAAGTCCTGGACCCAGCGGCTTAAAACTCACACCAGGTGCATATGCGCATGTGCCCAAAATCCTGAGAGGAGTATGGAGGAGAAGGGATTATGGCATGGTCATCCCCACTGGGAGGTGATTTCTCACTTCTGTCTCTCTGTCTCTCTAGTGAGCACAAGCACCGTATTTCAAAAATTTCTCAAAAAAGAAAAAGCAACATCATCACCATGGCCCAAAGAGCATCTGGTTCCACCTGACCCCTACTACCTCTCTGACCTGCCTTCTACCACACCTTATTCACTCTTTGGCGTGGTGATGTGGCCCCTCATGGCTTACCCATATCTTCTCTTCCTAGAAATGTGAGAGCTTCTTGCCACCTGATTTCCGCTCTTTCGCTGTAGACCCCCAGATCACTTCACTGGACGTGTTACAACACATCCTCATCCGAGCCTTTGACTTGAACGGGTGAGTGGGGCAATGCTGGGGACTGGCCAGTAGGCCACCCAATCTCAACAGGGGAGGTGTGGCTTTTTTGTGTGTGTCTGTTTGATAGGGTTTTTGTTTGTTACAAATAATCTTACAGTGAACATATGCATATCTTAGAGTATCTGTGGAATTCTAGTCATTGGATAAATTCCTGGCAGTGGTATCGGTGGGTTATTGATGGTAGTTTCTCTGTTACTAACTGCAAAAGAGACCAACGTTTTACCAGTTTCCAGTGTGCCCTCCAGACACAAGCAGGTGTATATCTGTTTCTGTGTTTGTATAACAAAGTGAGTATAAATGATGACTTGAGACTGCTCACAATCCTTGGCTCAGTACCCAGTACCTCATAGGAAGTTGTTTTCCATACCTTCTGTCTTACCTCCCATGTTTTTGCAAGCTGTCCCTGAGGCCTCCAGGGAACTGGGAGCCCTGAGAGTTCCTTTGTATCCTCTGTCTAGGAAGAAGAACTTCGGTATCAGCTACCTGGGCCGGGACCGAGTAGGACAGGAAGCTTACCTCTCACTCCTGTCTGACTGGGATCTGAGCATGGCCTTCGCCACTGCCTCCAAGCCTTACCTGCAGTTACGTGTAGACATTCGGCCTTCAGAGGACAGTGAGTACCCAGCGCACCAGGGGCACCTCTTCGTGAGCTACCTTTTCCTCATAGGATGACTCTACCCCTTGAAATATACTTCTGCACGGGGGCTGGGTAGCAAGATGTCCTAGGTCCAGATCCCAGCTCAACCACCGAGCCACAATTTGTTCACCTGTAAAGAAGAAATAATGGTATCTGCAGACCATTGTGAGGGTTAAATAGGGAAATTCATTTACAATGGCTGAAACAAAGCATGACTGCATAGTGAATGCTCAAAAAGTGTTAGCTGCAATAGTAATAATAATAATAATAATATACCATGATCGCATATAGGCTAGTAATTCATGTTATAATTATATAATATAATATAACAGTATAGTAATATAGTATGTTTCAAGTATAATGTCTAGATATAACAGTGTTTATTATCGTAATGGTAGTTGTGTTTATTCATTCACTTATCCTGCGCTCATATTAGTTCATTTGTGCTCTTGTTCATGCACTCATTTATTCCCTTGCTCTCTCAGCCACTTCTTTTCTAATTTTTTTTTTTGTAATTTTTGCCATAGGGCATGTGCACTTGCCTGAAAGGGACAGAGGAAGAGAGGGAAAATGAGAAATATCCCCCCTGGAGTGGACATGCTCCAATCCCTTCATCTTTATTCTCTTTTGGGATTTTGGGCATGCATGCACATGCACCCAGTGGAGTCACTGGACCTGGGACTCAAACTGCACAGTAGGCCATGTAGGAGCCAGCTGCCTTAACTATCATGTCACATGCTGACCCTTCTTCTCATATTCGTTCCTTCATTTTTTTTTCCTTTTTATAAAGGTTTTTGCCTTAGGGTGCATGCACTCACCAGAAACATAGACAGAGACAGTGAGAGTGAAAATGAAAAATCACCCCCTGAGGGGATGGCCACACTTCAATCCCTTCTCCTCCATTCTCCTCCTGGGATTTTGGACATGCATGCACCATGCCCAATGGGAGTTTGAAGCCAACATGTCTAGGACTCGAGCCGTGGCTGATCATGTGGGAGTCTAGTGACATATCAGCTACTCACCTGGCATGAGTTTCATCTGCTGACCCCTATTCCTCCACTCTGGTTTGTGCTGGTTGCTGTGAGCATACAGATGAATGAAGACATGGTCTCCAAAATTTGACTGTGAACCATACATTAGATAATAGTATTATATCAATATTAAATTAACTGGGTACATGTCTTAGTTTCTTTGTGCTGCCATAACAGAATCCCACAGATGGGGGACCAGCAGATAGCGTAATAGCTACATTGCTGGATTCCCATGTAGTCGGCCGTGGTTTGAGTCCTGGACCTGGTGGCTTAAACTCACGCCAGGTGCATGTGCGTGTGTGCCCAAGATCCCGAGAGGAGAATGGAGGAGAAGGGATTGCGGCATGGCCATCCCTCTGGGGGGTGATTTATCACTTTCTATGTCTCTGTTTCTCTGTCTTTCTGGTAAGTGCACACACCCTATAGCAAAAACCTCTCAATTTAAAAAAAAAAAAGAAAGAAAAAGAAAAAAAGAAAAGAATACCACACATGGGATAATTTTTAAACTAACAGAAATTGGGCCAGCTGATGGCATGATGGTTAAGGTGGCTGGATCCCACATGGCCAATTGTGCAATTTGAATCCCAGACCTGATGGCTTGAAATATATGCTGAGTGCGGGAACCAGCAGTTAGTGTAATGGCTATGTCGCTGGACTCCCATGTAGTTGACTGCGGTTCATGTCCCAGACCCGGTGGCTTAAAACTCACACCGGGCACATGTGCGTACGTGCCCAAGATCCCAAGAGGAGAATGGAGGAGAAGGGATTGTGGCGTGACCATCCCCCCGGGGGGTGATTTCTCGCTTTCTATCTCTATGTCTCTCTATCTGTCTGGAGAGCGCACGTGCCCTATAGCGAAAATCTCTCAAAAAAAATATATATGCTGAGTGCATGTGTGTGCCCAACATCCTGAAAGGGGGTGATATGGAGGATAAGCAATTGCAGCATGACCATCTCATGGGGCATGGGGTAGTGCTTTCTTTCCTTCTCTATTTTTCTTTTTAATTTTTTTTTGGGGGGGAGAGGTTTTTGCTATAGGGTGCATGCACGCACCAGAAAGACAGAGAGAGACAGCAAGATGGAAAGTGAGAAATCACCCCCAAGGAGGGATGGTCACGCCACAAGCCCTTCTCCTCCATTCTCCTCTTGGGATCTTGGGCACACATGCACACGCGCCTGACGTGAGTTTAAGTCACTGGGTCCAGGACTCGAACCGCGGTCGACTACATGGGAGCCCAACAACATAGCCATTATGCTAACCGCTGGTCCCAATATTGCCTTTTTTAAACAAAAAGAAACTACTTCAGTTGCACTCCACCTGGCTTCAGAAAACATTTAAACAAATAAGGATTTAGAATGACAAGGAAATAAGTGTGTAGTTGAATCCAATTTGAGACAATGTGTTTACTCTTGGGGTTTTGGGCATGCATGCACATGCACCTGGCATGAGTTTCAAGCCTCCAGGTCTGGGATCAGCTATATGGGAGTCCAGTGATGTAACCGCTTTGCCATTTGCTGGTCTCAGTTCTCTCTGTTTCTCTCCAACAAGTGCACACAACCTTTAGCAAATTAAAAAAGAAAAGAAAAAAGAACAGAAATGTATTTCTCGTAGTTCTAGAGGATAGGAATCCAAGATCAAGGTGATTGCAGGTTGTATGTCTGGTGAAAGGAGATGAACACTGTGTCCTCATGTAGGAAAGGATCAGAACGAACCTATCCTCATACTCTTCCATAAGGACCTTAATCCCATCCATGAAGGCTCTGCCCTCACGACTTAATCACCTCTTAAAGGCCCGAGTTTTGTTTTGTTTTGTTTTTTTTTTAAAGAGAGCTTTTTTGCTAAAGGGTGCGTGGGCTTGCCGGATAGACAGAGAGACAGAGCAAAAGAAAGCGAGAAATCACCCCCCAGGGAGGATGGCCACACCACAGTCCCTTCTCTTCTGTTCTCCTCTCAGAATCTTGGGCATGTGTGCACATGTGCCCGATGTGAGTTTAAGCCCCTGGGTCCGGGACTTGAACTGCAGTGGATTTTGTGGGAGGCCAGCAACATAACCATTACACTATTGGCTGGTCCTCCAACTTCTTTTTTAAAAAATTAATTATTGGGGCCAGCAGATAGTGTACGGCTTACATTGTTGGACTCCAATATGGCTGACCATGATTCAAGTCCCGGACCCGGTGGCTTAAAACTCACACAAGTCATGTGTGCCTGTGTGCTCAAGATCCCAGGAGGGGAGTGGAGGAGAAGGGATTGTGCCATGGCCATCCCCTCTGGGGGGGAAGGGGGGCAGTGATTTCTCACTTTCCCTCTTACTGTCTCTGTTTCTCTCTTTCTCTTATGGGGAGTGCATGTGCCCTAAGACAAATACCTCTAAAAAAGGGGACAGCAGATGACATGGTGGTTAAGGCACTGGACTCCCACATGGTAGACTGTTGTTCAAGTCCTGGACCTGGTGGCTTACTTTCACACTTTCCCTTTCTCTCTCTCTTTGGTGAACGCATGTGACCTACAGCAAATAAAACAATAATAATATATAAAATTAAATAATTCTTTAAAAATAAAACCTCTAAAATAAAATGACTTTATTTTATTTATTAATATTAAAATTTGCTTTAAGGCATGTGTGCTTATCAGAGAGAGATGTGAGAGAGAGAAAGTGAGAAAGGGAGAAAGCAAGTCACCAG